AGAGAGAGAGAGAGAGAGAGAGAGAGAGAGAGAGAGAGAGAGAGAGAGAGAGAGAGAGAGAGAGAAAGAGAGAGAGAGAGAGACAGAGAGAGAGAAACCCTTGCTGCCCTCATGAGTTCTCAACAAAAAAGCGACATCAACATTTTGACTGCTATTCATTTTGGACTTCGCAATATCCCGGCCTGTGTGCTCTGCTTCGTCCTCTCCAAGGTCACATCTCCAACTCTTCATTACACCGCTTCACTCCTGCCGCAGCTTCGCTGCAGCAGGCCCAGTTGTTTCTTTAAAAGCACTGCTGGTCGCCGGATGGACCGGGGACCCCTACCCCATCCGCGGTCCTTCCGGTTGGACCGACCGGTGGCCCGGGCCGGTTCCCTCCCGGTTGCCCCCAGCGCATTTTCGCTGGGGGCTGAATTTTTTTTTTTGTCGGCGCGTATATGTTCCCAAGGCCTCGTGGGGGCGGGCCCTGCCCCGCAATTTTGAAACCGGGTCCTGTAGGCCCGGATTTTTCAAGTACAGAAAGTGGCCAATCTTGGCCGCCGATCGTCGCAGATCAGCGGCATAGATCGGCCAGGACCCCATTTCTATAAGAAAAACGGGCAGACGATATCCGCCGCTGATCTATGCAGATCAGCAGCGGAGAACAGCCATGCGTTTTTCCTAAGATGTGGGTCGGGTAGGCCCCTAATCCAGTTTGTCATCTTGTGGTCCAATGGACCAGTTACCATTGGCAACATCTGATGCTCTTCCACCCTCAGCCACGAGTGGACCACTATGCTTCTGATGAGAAAATGGACCTAAAATATAGGGCGTTGCTGCACTACTCTCGACATGCACAAAAGACAAAAATCTTGGCGGTGTATCTTTCCGAATTCTAGCGGAAGATTCACTCTCGTTTTGCACATTTCGAGAGTAGTGCAGCGAGGCCCATATTCTTCTTCTTTTTTTTTTTTTTTCGGTGGCCCATATTCTTCTCGCTATCTATCTCGAATGGACTTTGCTCCACTACATGTATCTGGACAGACTGCCAGACATGATACTTCCGAGGTGCAATCCCAAGAATGGACCTAAAATATAGGGCGTTGCTGCACTACTCTCGACATGCATAAAAGACAAAAATCTTGGCGGTGTATCTTTCCAAATTCTAGCGGAAGATTCACTCTCGTTTTGCACATTTCGAGAGCAGTGCAGCAAGGCCCATATTCTTCTCTCTATCTGTCTCGAATGGACCTTGCTCCACTACATGTATCTGGACAGACTGCCAGACAAGATACTTCCGAGGTGCAATCCCAAGAATGGACCTAAAATATAGGGCGTTGCTGCACTACTCTCGACATGCACAAAAGACAAAAATCTTGGTGGTGTATCTTTCCGAATTCTAACGGAAGATTCACCCTCGTTTTGCACATTTCGAGAGCAGTGCAGCGAGGCCCATAGGGCCTCGCCACACCACACCCAACTTGGGAAAATTTTCGGGAGTGCTCCCGGAAGTGAAAACCCGCTCAGGAGTGCCTTTCGCCACACTACACTCTCGACCCGGCCGCGCTCAAATTCTGAAAATGTCATTTGCCACATATGGACACGATCAGTGTGAAGCAGTCTGGCAGAAGTCGTTTGTCCCTTCGGGCTCCGCTCCCGAATCTGGGATGGAACTCGGAGGAGCGAAGGAGGTCTCTCGAAAAAAAAGCTTTGCAGGCGGTGAGTTCGGGAGTGCTCTCGGGAGGCACATTCTGACAGCTCCCGAATTCAACCTGACAGCTTGAACTCGGGAGCTGGTGTGGCGATGCTGCACTCCCGAAAATGGCCAAGTCGGGAGTAGTGTGGCGAGGCCCATATTCTTCTCTCTATCTATCTCGAATGGACCTTGCTCCACTACATGTATCTGGACAGACTGCCAGACAAGATACTTCCGGACTGACAACTCACCTTATGTAGGAACCAGCAAACAGAAAACGCTCTGCCTCCACGAGCAGAAAGCTGGAACCATAACTTTTCTGCTGTCGAAATATACTCTGGAAGAGCTATAATTTCGGGCAAGGACCTCCTCTCATCATATCTGGTTCAGCTCGTGGGGTATCAATATCAAATGACATACTCCACGAAGTGCTCCAGCGACGGGGGGGTCGGATAAGTGAACTTGCTTACTTGACTCCTCCCTGAGGAAGCCGTAGTTGCCTGAATATGTCAATGATAACCCCCTGCCCCCCTCTCGAAGCCCCCTGAAAAATGTTGTACCTTAAAAATTTTATTGCGGATTCGGACAGCTCTTGAAGAGCGCAGTCGGAATCTGCCCAAGAAAAAAAAAAAAAAAAAGATATTTGGGCACTTTTTTTTCAAAACCGGTTTCCCGGTTCACCCCCCTGGTCTGGTCCGGCTCCCGTTGGACCGGGGTAGCTCAACCGGCCGGTTGCCGGCCCAGCACTGTTTAAAAGTAGGTTTTTTTATTGATCGTTTATAACTTTATACGTTGAAAATTCTGTGTTTCGCACTACACCTTCCTTTCCTCGTGACTCCAGCTAATACAGAGCTGCTACACACATATAAGTTGATATAACCAACTGTTAAGAAACAGATCATGTGTTCAAATCCTGACAATTAGACTACAAAACGTTGCAGCCACACTGTATCCGACACTTTGGAAAGTGGCATCCACACCACACATGGAGAGGTGGGGAGAGTGCTTGGGGGGTGGAGAGCGGGGGGAGGGAGGGGAGGGGACTCCAGAGAAGGGAGTTGCAGAGTCTTCAATAAATACTTAACCGGAAAACTCCATCCGAGGAAAGCACTCCGATATGTGTATCGCTGCAAGGATGCCAGGCCAATTGAAGTATTCGAAGAGCGTGATCCTTTCCTCCTGGGAAAAGTCGGGTCCCGACAATCATTCCTTTGCTGAACAAAAAGGAAGGATGAGAGTGAACAAGCACCCGGAAAACACAGAAGGACAAACCGAATAAATACCACAAAAAATGAGAACAAGCAGCCACAAAAAAAGCTGCGAAGGAAAAATTTTATGGATATACAAAGGCCTCGAAGTGGGAGAGGCAGCATTGCAACCTACGCAGAAATACAGCCTTCAACAGAAAATGACGTAAACTGCCAGTACACGGCCCCAGCCTTGCAGAAAATGTTCCATCCCCGCCCCAAAAACTTCGTGCCTCGGGCCTACCAAACCACAATGGCTGGCAGCGCCAGCCCAAAAAGACAAGGAAGTGCACCGCTGGTGGTTCGGCAAAGCTTGGCGTGCAGTGGAGCGCCTCCAGGCCCGGGTGTACGGCTGTGGTTTAACACAGTGTGTTGCATACCCCAACGGTCAGCGTCCCTTGACTGGTCGGCACCTACCAGTCGGGGGTCGGCGGCACCCACGGAAAAAAAAATAAAAAAATTGGGTCCAGAACCCCTAATAACCCCACCAACACCCCCATAGCAGCCCCCAATACCACCATACACCCCCCCAACACCCCCAAACCGCCCCCAACACCCTCATTACCCCCCCCAATACCCCCCCTATACCCCCCCCAATCCCCAAAAGTTTCTCAGCGGATTGGGCTGTACTCAGCAAGCGCAGCACAGCCCCCAACTCAGATTTGAAAAAAAGCAGTGGAGGTTGTTTTCTGACTGGTCGGCAGACTGCCGACCGGTCGGCCCTATTGGTTGGCTGCAATACGGTCAGCGGTCGGGGTCGGGGTCGGGGTCGGCGGTCGGCAGGTATGCAACCCTTGTTTAACAGCCAAAAAACATCGAAAGAGCGCTGTCAAAAGAAAAAAGAGTCCTTCACAGACTACAGCCACAAGAGGAAGAAGAAGGTGGTAGAGAAAATGAACCATGCTTTCAATTCGTCCTGCGGGACATCCGTTAAAATTGGAACGATAAAGAGAAGATTATTAGCGTGCCCCCTGCACAAGGATCACACGCATGAATCACGAAATGGTAAAAATTATTTTATAAAAGAGAAGAACATGCTTTCAATTCAAAATAAGGCTAATAAGCATTAATTTGATGTACATTATTTTAGGATAATATTATAAATTTATAATAATAAGGATATACTTTTACCCACGTCCCCAAAAATATTACATATAACATACTGACTATGATTGATAGAATTTGAAAAAGGGGGGGGAGAAGGATTATCTCAATGTATCTGTATACTGTTGTTTTATCACTGTCACATAGAACAGCAAGGAGCGCATGATGGTCATTATCGATGAATCAAGGCTGATAGTTGCCCCAAATACTGATGAACTGACTGCTTTTGTCAGCGTTTCTAAATCAGACCAATGAATACCGTCTTCCGAAGAATAAGAGTGCATGATGGTCATTATCGATGAATCTAGGCCAAAAGTTGCCCCAAATACAGCTATAATGACCGTACGACATATGTTCTATTCGGGGGAAAGACTACCACCTGTCTGACACTTCTCTTGCCGAAACCTGTTAGAGGGTTGATACTCTCAGGACATACTCACACTTGCACTTTCCTAAATGTATCTGACTACCATTATGACCAGACCCGGATGAATCTGGCCACAATCATGTCCAGAGCTAAGTAGAAAAAGTCCTAAAATGATACTCTCATCAGGCTGTCGACCTATTTTTCTTCTAGTATTTTCATCTTTTCAAACTCTTTTATCTTTCCTTCTTTTTCACCTTTCCTTCTTTTTTACCTTTCCTTCTTTTTTATCTATCATTTGTCAGTAGTTGCTGAATTGTGACAATTGTCAGTGTCCGACTCCGTCTGCGGCTCTGTGACACAGCATTCTGAACATTCATTTTGGTGGATTTCACCGGTATATTACCTAAAGGCTGTGTTGTCACTAGATGTTGTTTTGCCTCCTGTCCCCAATTCATTGGCTGATCTGCCTCTTTCAATTCAATCCTACGTGAGCTGCAGTGAGCATGTACATCTTATACAGCGTGTTGCGAAAGCAGCTTTTGTGATGACAACCGCGAAAAAGAAACTCAAATTACAAGCATCCCAAACTCCCAAGTAGCAGTAATGACTCAACGGGCTCAGCAACGGGCGGCCAAAGGCCAACTTATCCTGACAAAGCAGAGAGCAGAAATGGCGCGTCATTGATCACACATACACAAGATATTGAGAATATTGCGGTCTGTCGATGAAGAAAGCCCCCAACTCGCCTCCAACCACTCAAAACAGCAACAACAGAACGGTCTCCTTCAGCACATGCTAGACACGCTAACCTACCACTAGCCTCCTGTACAGTCACTGACATACAGTGCCGCTCTCCGCCGATAACCAGACGAAGAAACCACTACAATGCAGCTATCTTGACAACCACCAAGTAAGTCCCTCACCACTTCGCCTCTCACGGTCATCCTCCTTCCTCCACATGTGCCCTCTCTCTCTCTCTCTCTCTCTCTCTCTCTCTCTCTCTCTCTCTCTCTCTCTCTCTCTCTCTCTCTCT